TGCAGGAAACCTGAATTCAGTTCCTGACACCTATAGCAACTCCCTATACCCAGCTCCAGGGGAGCCAGTGTCCCTGACCTCTACACACACACACACACACACACACACACAGAGAGAGAGAGAGAGAGAGAGAGAGAGAGAGAGAGAGAGAGAGAGAGAGACTCATATCATAGACATACACATAATGAAAATAAAGTAAATCCTTTTAATAAGCCAACAAATATATGGATATAAATAGCCGCATTGTACTTCTCATTGTTGTAAAACTGATCATTTCATTACTTTCCTTGAAGTATGAATGCCATCACTGTTACCATCCAGGGCTGAAATGTGTCTTTGGTTCCCTTTACCAAGCATTATCAAGTGACTGAGCCCACAGTCTATTGTAGTTTAGAGTTATATACATACTCACTAAAGATAAAGTCAAGGTGGACATGGTAGCACAGGCCCGGTAATCCCAGCACTTGGGAAACTAGGGCAGGTTTGCAGTTTAAAACCAGCCTGGGCTATCCAGCGAGACCCTGTCTCAAGGCAAAATAAATAATGATAAGAAACTAACTGTTACCCAGACAAACAAATCATGTTACCACACACATGAACTGAAGCCCTGTGGATATTCTTTCTTTATTAAATAAATGTATTCATTTATTTTACATCCAGACCACAGTTCCCCTCCCTTCCCCTCCACCTAATTCCCTTCTGCTGCACCCCACCCCCAATCTACTACTTTGTTTCTGTTCAGAAAGGGACAGGCCTCCCACGGGTGTCAACAATGCGTGGCATATCAAATTGAGGTAGGACTAAGCTTCTCCCTTTGTATTAAGACTGGACAAGGAAACCCTGTATGAGAAGTAGGTTCCCAAAAGCCAGCCAAAGTGTTAGGAACAGACCCTGCTCCCACTACTAGAAGTCCCACAAGTACAGCATGCTACACAACTGTCACACATATGTAAATGGCCTAGGGTGGTCCCATGCAGGCTCCCTGACTGTCAATCCAGAATCTGAGTTCCTAGAGTCTACGTTAGTTGTTTTATGGGTTCCTTTATGATTTCCTTGACCCCCTGACTCCCTCTCTTCAACAGTATCTCCCGAGTTTGGCCCAATGTTTGGTTGTGGGTCACTGCATCTGTATCCATCAGTTACTGAATGAAGCCTCTCTGATAGCAATTGGGCTAGGTGTTGTAATAGGAGCAGCGAGCTGCGTCCCGCCACCCGGCTAGCTTTATCCAAAATAATTACACGGAAACTGTATTCTTTTAAACACTGCTTGTCCCATTAGCTCTAGCCTCTTACTGGCTAACTCTCACATCTTGATTAACCCATATCTAATAGTCTGTGTAACACCACGAGGTGGTGGCTTACCAGTAAGATCTTAACCTGCATCTGTCTTGGAGAGGAGAGCTATAGCGACTGTCTCATTTCCCTTCTTCCCAGCATTCTGTTTGGTCTACTCCACCTATCTAAATTCTGCCCTATCAGGTCAAGCAGTTTCTTTATTAATTAACCAATGAAAGCAACAGATAGAAAGAAGACCCACCTCCATCAGCTAGGCACCAAGACTTTTTTCCCTGATCCTGTTTGGCTGAATCCTAGGTCTCTGGGTCCTCAGGCTCCAGGCAGTGACGGAAGTAGGGTCACTCTAACGCCAAAGGTCTGAAACTGGATCAGTCATAGTTGGCCACTCGCACAATCTCCCAGCCACCTTACTCCCCATCTCCCATATTTCCCATAGGCAAGACAGACTGCAGATCAAATGTGTAACTGAACTGGGGTTCCAGTCCCTCCACTGGAACTCTCACCCAGTCACAGGAGATGGCAAGTTTAGGCTATGGTCCATCATTGCTAGGGTCCTTAGCTGGGGTCCTCCTTGCACATTCCTGGGAGTTTACATTGTACCAAGTTTCTACCTGATCCCAAAATGACCAATCCCCTTTCCAGGCATCTCTTTCAGTACTCTTCCCCTCCATCTACTTCCCAGCTTGATCCCTCATGTTTCCATCCCTACCCTCCCCCAGTCTATCTATGAGATCTCTTCTATTTCCTCTCTTCCCTTGGAGATCCTTGCATTCCCCCTTTGTGTTGTAGGAGGCTACTTGTTCGTTTTCCAGCCACACAGACTCAATATAGTTTATTAAATCACTGCTTGGCCTGTTAGCTCTAGCTTCTTATTGGCTAACTCTTACATATTAATTTAACCCATTTCTATAAATCTGTGCATCACCACATGGCTGTGGTTTACCGGCAAAATTCTAGCTTCTGTCCCTGGCCACGGATACATGGCATCTCTTTGATGCCGCCTTCTTTTTCCCAGCATTCAGTTTAGTTTTTCCCGCCTATCTCTATTTTTCCCTGTGCAAGCCAAGACAGTCCTTTATTAACCAATGGTATTCACAGCATACAGAGGGGAATCCCACATCACCTCTTCTTTTCTGTTTAAATAAAAAGGAAAGTTTTAACTTTAACACAGAAGAATTACTTATAACAAAACAGGTATCGAGCAAGAATTTCAATTATAATATTTATATCTACTTTATCTTTTATCATAACTAAGGAAAACTGTAACTATCTATTATTCAAGTCCATCAAGGACTAAAGGATATAATATTACCTAAGTTAACAGGAAGTGCATTGTAAGCAACTTCCAAAACTCTAGAATTGACAGAGACATCTCACTGCCTGGACAGTCACCCAGAGTTCTTCTGTATTGTTGGGGCATCCAATCCTCAGCCCACAGGCCTATAATATCCAGCAGACGTTTTCATGAAGCAAGAAATTGTATGTGAGCATCATATATTTGAGTCCTTGCTCAGGTTGGTACAATCTGACTAATTTCCCATCTTCTGATTGTCTAGGTACAAACAACTGGCTATTTACCAAAATCCACCCTTCCTTCTCCCTAAGCAGGTTCCTAGGCCTCATTTCTCAGGCTCCCTTGATACCATCATGTGCGTATGTCAATGGGATAGCAGAAAGAGCAACACAAAGACTCCAGGCCTGGCCCATGGAAGCCTATCTGAGGAAACAAGGCATAGGAAAAAATCACAGTAACCTATAGAAGAAACTCTGCCCTCTGGGTTCCTCCTCTTCCTGACTGAGTGAGCTGGCACATTTTGAAGATGGCACATATCACCTTGTGTATACATGCATGGACTTCTGGATGACTGTGTGGAACAGAGCCTCTGCTAGCTTGGACTCCTGGACTTGGCTGCCATGTGCAGAAGGAATTGACCTTTGATCAGAAAGCTAATGACGAGGAGTGTGAGCTCTTCTGATTGCCACAGCTTAACTGACCCTAATTCATTATTTTTATTAAATACTAAGATAACACCAAGTTATATGTAGCATAATTAATTGTGGAAGCATTGCAGGTTTGGCTTTGTTCTGTGGGTTGGGGCAGTGTTGATGCTGGTGTTTGTAGTGGTGAGTATTAAACCCAGGGCCTTTCCCAAGCCAGGCCAATGATGCAACAGGCTTTACCTTCCACCCCCCTAGCTCTGTAGTTTTGAACAACCCAGCTTCAGAAGGTTTAGTCATGAACACTGGGACCCTTACTCCTAACCACCATGTCACCCCTCCATCCAGGGATCTGCGCTCCTGCAATTTCTTTTTCTTCCCTTGCTTTCCTTGAGCATTTGATCATACATGTCTATGTCTGCAAATTGTGTGTTGTTTAGAATTACATGTTTGAAGTTCAGAAATGAAAGCAGATCACTTAAGTGTCTAGGATCATTCTTCTCTCCCGTGACCACATGCTCCTGGGACCATCTGTGTTGTGTGAAATTTAAATGCCTTGACCTTGCCACATAGCAGTCTGCTGTTTATGCGGATGAGCGTGCACTGGCTGGTTCACTCTACTTTTGATTAATATTGACCTTGTGACTTTTTCTACATGAACAGAGTTGCCATGCGGGTTTCAATAGGGTTTCTTCTGTGTGTCAGAGGTGCGGGCATTTCTTGAGGATTTCTGCCTAATCTAACCTAACGATGCTGCTAGGTGCCAGAGTATGTGACATTTTAAATTAAAAAATATAGTGACTAGCATCTTTTCTAAAGGTGATATATCTCAGAAGAGTCCGCCGAAAACTAGAGGAAGCAGTGCAGGTTGGGGAATAAATATCCCAAGATAAAGAGGCAGCGAGTATTAGGACCCCATGGTAGGAAGGCCTATCTAGGTGGGCAGACCTGCTTTCTGTAGCAGCCCCAAAAAGAAAGAGGAAAGCAGAGGCAGGCACTCCAGGGTACACTATAAGAGGACTCTGCAGTTATTAAAGAAGTATGGGAAGTTTCCATTTCTGAGACCACAGAGGAAACAAAGAGTTGGGGTTCCTACAAGACCAGTTGACTGTCATGAAGATTAGGTTGCAGGACCCATGGCATGAGAAAGAGAGGAATCGGGATGTCACCTTCTATAAAAGGTACTTACAGCCCTTTGCTGTGTCTCAGTGGGAAGTAAGCACAGCCAGTGTGTGGAGGATTCCAATGGTGGCTTGGACAGCACTAGGCCTGGGATGCTTTGGTATGGCTAAGTTAAGCCACTAAGTAGGGAATGTCATGAGAGTCAAGAATTTATCTAGAAGGCCTGGATGAGCAGCCCTGTTGTAGAGCTCTTTCTGAGAACTGTGAAGCCCAGGAGTAGATCCCCAGCATGGGGCAGGGAGTGGTGATGGAAAGGTCAGGAATGTCTGTATATAGATGACATTCTTGGGAGTATCTTAGAGGAAGTGGAGGGGTGGGGTGGAGCATTACTGAACTGAAAAGGCTTTTGTCCAAAACCCAGTGCTGTAAGACCTGGCACAGCCTCACTGAGTGCTGCACTTTGATGGGCATTAGAGACATAATGTTTACAGGCGTGTATGTGTCTGTGAATGAAAGGTGATGAGAGGGGCTGTAATCATGTATTTCACATCTTCGATTATGGGTGTCCAGTCTGCTTTCAGACCCTGCCCAACAGCATCCTTTTCTCCATACGTGTTATAATCTCTTGTCATTTCTACCCACAGGCAAGAACTGGGACTTGACAGCCGCTCTAAGCGACTATGAGCAACTCCGACAGGTGCACACAGCCAACCTGCCGCACGTGTTCAATGAAGGGAGGTGTGCCAAGCAGCCCGAGCGAGAATTGCCCCAGCCGGGGTACAAAGTGGAGCGGCCCTGCCTGCAGAGGCAGGACGATATTGCCCAAGGTACCAGCTGAGGGGCTTAATGCGGCTCCACGTCTCCCATGGAAAGCAGGGGAGTGTGACTGAAGCCTTTAGGGCGGGCCCGTCCAGTGGGGAGTCCTGCTTCACCTGACAGATATCTCTGGTCCGGTCCTCCAGTTATGTCTGGCAGCTTAGCCTCCAAGTCATTCAATGGCGTGTTCATTGTTCCATGTGTTTCTTCTTTACTGTTCTTTTTCGTCATCAGACTAAGGTATACTTGTGATAGTGATTATAAAAAGGAAGCTTGAAAGGTCTTTGTCCCACCTCCCAGCTCTCACTGTCTTAATAACCACTGATCAGCCAAGTCTACCTACCTCCTTCTCCTGCTGAGCTTGTTAAAGATCTGCAAACAAATAATAGTCATCGCTGTGGCTTCACGTAGTCATCTCCCTGACCACATTGCTGCTCACTAAGTGCAAAACCGGGGCTTTGCTCTGCTCCTGCCGGCTCTGCCTGGTCTTGCTATGACTTTGCCTTGCTGGTGTTTTGAAGGGTGTGAAGAGTGAAAACTGGAATCTTGTTTTAACTTTCACCTTGTGGTTTGCTTGTTAGTTGGCCTCCTCCTCTCTGCCTCATGCCTGTTTCTTCATTAGTTCATTTTCCCATCAATCAATAGGCTTTGCTTTATCAGATTGTAGAATCAGCACCTGATTCTCCCCTTGCCTGTATATAAATCCCACTGTATCATTTGCCTTATGACTTTGTGTTCAGAGGACTCTGGCATACAAAAATGTTTATAGTATTAATGCCCTGGCCTATGAGCTAGTCTCTGGATTTGGAAATAAAACACAAGGTTAATAAACCTTTTTCCTTTTGTTTGTCAATTTAGTCTTCAGATGTTTCTATTTCTTCAGCAGTTATAGGACTGTTTAATTTGCTTATCTGGTCTTGATTTAAGTTTCGTAAGTGATATTTATCCAGAAAGTTATCCATTTCCTTTAAGTTTTCCAATTTTGTGGTGTACAGGTTTTAAAATATGACCTGATGATTCTCTGTATTTCCTCCATGTCTGCTGTTATGTCCCACTTTTTATTTCTGATTTTGTTAATTTGGATATTCTCTCTCTGCCTTTTGGTTAGTTTGGATAAAGGTTTGTCTATTTTGTTGATGTTCTCAAAGAACCAACTCTTTGTGTCATTGATTTTTTTTTGTATTGTTTTCTTTGAAATCAGCTCTCAATTTGATTATTTCCTGCTGTTTAGTTCTTCTGGGTGAGTTTTCTTCTTTTTGTTCTAAAGTTTTCAAATGTTCTGTTAATTCACTAGTGTGGGATTTTTTCAGCTTCTTTATGTAGGCATTTAATGCTATGAACTTTCCTCTTAACACTGTTCTCATTGTGTCCCATAAATTTGGGTATGTTGTGTGGTCATTTTAATTGAATTTTAGGAAGTCTTTAATTTCTCCCTTTATTTCTTCCTTGACCCATTGATGATTCAGGTGAGCATTGTTTAATTTCCATGTGTTTGTGGGTTTCCTGGAATTAGTGTTGCTGGTGACTTCTAGTTTTATACCATAGCGACCTGTAAGATACATGGGGTTATTCAATTTTTTTGTATTTGTTGAGGTTTGTTTTGTTACTGAATATGTGGTCAATTTTTGAGAAGGTTCCATGAGGTACTGAGAAGAAGGCATATTCTTTTCTGTTTGGATGGAATATTCTGTAGATCTTTGTTAAGTCCATTTGTATCATAACATGTTAGTTCCCTTATTTCTCTGTTCATTTTTTGTCTGACTGACCTGTCCAGTGCTGAGAGGGGAGTCTTGAAGTGTGTGGGGTTTAATGTATGATTTAAGCTTTAGAAGTGTTTCTTTTCCATATGAGGGTGCCCTTGTATTTGGGGCATAGATGTTCAGTATTGAGATTTCCTCCTGATGGATTTTTTTTCCTGTGACTAATATGAAATTTCCCACTTTGTCTCTTTTGATTGATTTTAGCTTGAAGTCTATTTTGTTAGGTATTAGGATAGTTACACCTGCTTGTTTCTTAGGTCCATTTGGTTGGAATATTTTTTCCCAACCCTTTACTCTGAGACGATGTCTGTCTTTGAGGTTGAGATGTGTTTCTTGTATGCAGAAGAATGGATTTTGTTTTCGTATCCAACCTGTTAACCTGTGCCTTTTTATAGGTGAGTAGAGTCCGTTTACATTAAGAGATATTAATGACCAGTGATTGCTATCTCCTGTTATTTTTATTTTCACTGTTTGTGATGTTAATTTGTACGTTTTTCCCTTCTTTGGGATTTGCTGCTATGAGACCATCAATTTTCTGTGCTTTGGTTGGTGTAGCCAACTTCCTTGGTTTGAGTTTTCCTTCTAGTATTTTGTGTAGGGCTTGGTTTGTGGCTAGATATTGGTGATATCTAGAGTTTTCATGGAATATCTTGTTTTGTCCTTTTTTGGTGATTGAAAGTTTTGCTGGGTATAGTAGTCTGGGCTGGCATCCGTGGTCTCTTAATGTCTGCATAACGCTTGACCATGACCTTCTGGCTTTCATTGTCTTCAAAGAGAAGTCAGGTGTAATTCTGAAAGGTCTGCCTTTATATGTTAATTGGCCTTTTTTCTTTGCAGCTTTCTTTACTTTGTATGTTTAGTGTTTTGATTATTATGTGGTGAGGGGACATTTTTTTGTGATCCAGTCTATTCGGTGTTCTGTAAGCTTCTTATATCTTCATAAGCATATCTTCCTTTAGGTTGGGAAAGTTTTCTTCTATGATTTTGTTAAATATGTTTTCTGTGCTTTTGAATTGAACTTCTTCTTTCTTCTATACCTATTATTCTTAGGGTTGCCTTTTCAAGGGATTTGCTGATGTCTTCCAAGTTTTTGTTTGTCTTTTTCTCTATCTCTTTGAGGGAACTTCTTATTTCCTCTTTAAAAGCTTTAAATATTCTCCTGAAGTTGTTTTTTAGGTCATTTTCTTCTGCTTTGTCTTTATTTGGTTGCTCAAGTCTTGCTATTGTTGGGTCTTTAGGTTTTACTGGTGTTGTGTTGCTCTTTTTGGTGTTGGGTGTGTTCTTACCTTTTCTTCTCATCTTTTCCTCTAATTAGTGTGGTTGGGACTGTCTGTGATTCTGTTGAATAATCTAGGTGCCAGTGAACCCAAGGCTCAGATGATTGTTCCTCATGGTACAGTCAGTGCCACAGTTCTAGTTACCCCATTGGTCACTCTGTTCCTGGAGTTCGTTCAGTGTTCCTGCGCTTTGCTCTGCTCCCTTGCAGTTTGCTGTCTCGGGCCTGCTCTAGCCTAAGTTGTCATCTCAGACCTGTTTTTCTAAATGTCCCTAGTCTGAATCCATTCCTGTGTAGGTCCCTAGCTTAGCGTTAATCCTGCAAAGATCTCTGGCTCCCATCTACTCCCTCAGAGTTCCCAGGCTTGGGTGCACCCAGAACTGCAGAGGACCTGGCTCAGGCTTACTTCCTCAGATGTCCCAGACTCACACTTGGACCAGCAGAGGTTTCTGGTTCCTGCCTATTCCCTTTGATGTCCCAGACCAATGCGTGGCCCCACAGAGTTCCTGGCTCAGAGGTCCCAGACTCACGCCTAGACCCGCAGAGATCTCTGGTTCCTGCCTACTCCTTTGGAGGTTCCAGATTCATGCCCAGACCAGCAGAGGTCCTGGGTCAGGCCTAGTTCCTGGGAGATCCTAGACTCAAGCCCAGACCCACCGGGATGTTGGCTTAGGTCTACTCCCTTGAAGGTCCCAGATTCACTACTGGACCCTCAGTGGTCTCTGGCTCACTCACTCCTCTGTACCTGTTCCGCTGGAGTTGGCTGTCTCAAGTCTGCTCTGGACCAGGTTGCTGGCTCAGTCCTAGTCCACCAATGCCCCCCGGACTCTCCACTGTCATTTTAAAGTCCACATTTATGTTTTCTTTCTGAAACCTTAGAAGCACTCTACCTCGCCCTGAAAAATGTGCCACATGCTCCTAACTCCTCTACTATCATGCCCTCAATCACATGAATGCTCTTTGTGTTGCCTGATTATTTAGGCAAAAGTCAGCTTCTTTACTTGTTCATATTTAAAGCCCTGTGCTCAAAACATTTTGGCAGTGACAGGTCATAGCTACCACAGAAACACCATAAAATCATAAGGAAGCCAAAAGAATCTCAATGTCATAAAACATCACTCAGGAATTGGTTGATGCTGGTGAGAATAGGCATGCACTCTGTTATGTGACAGTACCACACATCATCTAGTATATCAAAGTACTGGTGATAAGTAGTTGAGATCCAGTATGAGTATCGTCAGCTATGTGTTTACATAGTGTCTATGCTATGCTCTTCATTGTTATTTTAGTGTAGACTTGTGACAAAATTCTTTACTCTAAAAGAGTCTGCCAGGTCCTGCTAGCTGCAGCCTCAACATTTACCTTGCCCCTCAAGAGGTCACATTGAAGGCCTGGGCCGGGTCACACAGGTCTGTGTGAGGCCACTGTGTGAAGTCACACAGGGGCGTATTTCTCAGAAGGCATCTGTCTGTTAAAAGACACGTGGCTACATTCATTTCCTTCTTTCAAGAAGAATGTTTCCTCAAATACTGCCTTCAAATCTTATTTTTCCTGAGAATCTCTTAAAGCTTAAGTGCCTGAAAAGGTTCGCATGACTAAAATTCTGTCAGTGGAGCAAAACTCCCCGGTTCTCATTCATTTCCTTGAGTTCTTTGTAAACGGCCTCAGCTGTCTTCTTGAAGCTCCTCTTCTCGTCTCCTAAGAAACATGCTTGCCCCGCAATTCTAGCCTACATCTTTCTCTTGGGCATTCGTGTGAGTCAACACTTGGGTTTTCATTCCAAATTATTTCTTAGTATTATTAGTATTTCACCATCTCCTCTGTATTTCTCTGAACATATTTGCTAGGCTCCTTTCTAAATTCAATCTCTTCGGCCTGATTCCTGTGATGTAAGAACTTCATTTACATTCTTCTATTTGCCTGCCTTCCTCAGACGTTTCCTCGGTTTCCCTGTGGGCACGTAGTGCTATGATTATCAGCTCCTCAGACTGGAGTATATTAGGCCAAAAGCAGGCAGTGTGGGCTCTAGTTGTTCCTCTAGTTGTGTGAGAGAGCTGCAAGCTAGCCCTGTTTTTTTGTCTTTGTGTCTGACACATAATAGTTGTACATAGTCATGGATGGGTGCTGTAGATATTTCAATATACATGACCAATGTGTAATAACCCTCTGAGGGCTAGCTGATCTGTCATCCCAGTTACTGTTTCTGCTGAAGACATCCAAAACATTTTCTTCTGGCAACTTGGAAAACTAGAGTAAATTGTGAACTGTGGTCACTGCTATGTTATGAAACATGCAGTTTTATAGTCAATCACCAGTCTCAGTTTCCTCTCTCCTTCCCATACCCACTCTCGCTACCACTATCCTACGGTAGCTCTGCATAAAAGAGCAAGATCTGTGGGGTCTGCGTGACTTTTTGCACTCAATGTAGGTCCCTTAGGTTAATCCATGTTATCATAAATAACACAATTTCATTATTTTTATAAATAAAACTATTATTAATTAATTTATTAATAATTAATCTTTATTAATTAATTTATTAATAATAGTATTAATAAATACTATCCCCTTCTATGTGTGTGCGCTTTTCTCTTTTTCCATTCTGCTGACAGACTTGTATTACTTCTGTTTCTTCACTGTTAGTACGCTGTTAAGCATGTAGGAGAGCAGCTACCTCACAGATTTTCTCTTCTTTGGATTGGATCAAGGATTTGAGCTGAGTGCAGGAAGCAGCAGGGACATGTCCCAGTGACAGACAACCCAGACCTCCTGTTCCATCTCTCTCATTCTGAGTGGCCCTGTAGTTTCATATCTCTCTCTCTCTCTCTCTCTCTCTCTCTCTTTCTTTCTTCTTTCCTCAAAATGTAAGATAACCTAATCATACTGTCTCAGAATGAAATTGAAGTGAATTAAAACTATTCATTCTGAAATATGCAATCTCCATACCTTTCTGTCCATTGGGATGGGAAAAATATATGAGGTCATCAAGGCAAACCTCTGCTTGACGGTCTGCTTTGACAGAATTTCATTAATGCCATTTATGGCCACTGATACACAATGAGGCTGTAGGAAGTCTTGCTCTGAGGCAGGCAGTGGCTGTGATTTTCCTTGCAGCAGGGATGCTAGCCTAAAAGGAGGTGAGCAACCTTGGAACTTGTGTGCATATACTCAGGAATCTGCCACAGGGGTTGATCATAGTCACACTTAAACACCAAGGGCCCTCCTTCCCTCAGCTGAATAAGAGGATTTCTGCTGTGAGAAATCCCACGCCACCAACACTGACTCTACAGTGACTATCCCTACATCATATGCTCCAGAATTGTTGTTTAGGGGCGATGCACCCTTTAATCCCTGTACTTGGAGGATGAGACAAGAGGATATTAAATTCAAGGCCAGCCTTGGCTCCATAAAAATAGATTTCTGGTTTATGTTAATGTCACCATTAAACACTAGGTCCTTTATTAAAAGTATGTTTCACTGCAACAAGAAAACAAATGCATTTGCTTCAGATCGTTCAAGTTCTCACACATTAACAGACCTTACTTGAGAGACATCCTCTCCTGCGTTTCCCATTCTTTGGGCAGAGAGCCCACAAAGAATAAAACAGAGTAGGCTACAGCGCCAGAATGCTGGAACAAGAGGACATAAGGCAGCCAGAAAGCATGCACAGCCTCCGTCCGTGTGTCCCAGGATGCCCACATGGGAAATGCTCATCAGAGAAGCTAGAATAAAGTAGCCCATGTCTGGAAAGCCTGGGCCGCAGCAGAGCAGCCTAAGCAGGATGCTTCTTGCCTTAAATCTGCAAGTGCATGAAAACAAAGATGGTCTCCCATCTCCCGCCCACTGACCGGAGAGGACGGCTCTGAGGAATGGAGTTAAACGGAGCTCAGGAGCAAAAGCAAGCCCTGCTGCTCCTGTCAGTAGTCTGGCGGCACAGCTCTCAGTGGTTCCGTGGCTTGGCTGGGGCAGGCCACACATAGGTTTACTCCAGTAGCAGGCAGACCTGCAAGGTGGAAGAGTCTTGGAAGACAGAAAGGCTCGTGTGGGAAGGATATGAGCTTCTGTGCATGAGTGTCGTGTGCATATATGTTCCTATATGCGTATAGTATAGTGAGCATATATGTAGCTGTACATGTGTGTGTACTGTGTCCTGTGTATGTTCATGTTACATATGTGCTATGTAAATATTATATAGTGTATGTAGTATATGCATCTACATCTATGTTCATATATATAGCATGTACATAGTATATAAGTACATATTCATGAGTATATGGGGATATATGTGTCCATATTTGTAGTATCATGTTATACCTGTGTATGTGTGCATGTATGCATATATATGTGCATGTATATTTAAACTAAATGGTGTGTGCCTGTGTATGTGTATATGTAGATAAATGTATTGTCTAAAAGTCTCATATTGGAGCTGTAGAGATGGCTCAGCAGTTAAGAGCACGTGTTGCTCTTGTAGAGGATCCAGGTTTGATTCCCAGCACACACATGGTGGTTCATAACCATCCATACTCCAGTCTCTTAGACCCCAATGCACTTCTCTGACTTCTTCAGTCACCAAATATACACACAGTATACATACATATATTCAAAGAAAATACACATAAAATAAAATGAATGAATCTAATTTAAAAATTAAAAATATTAAAAATGTCATGTGTATGTATATGTAGATATACTTATTGATAGTTACAACAGTTCTGTATACTGTGTGCATAAATATCTGCAGTGTGTGTATTTACATGTACAATGTGTTCATACATTTGCATCTGGGTATGTTTGTACATGTGTGCATTTATAATGTTACATAAGTGTATTATGTGGGGGGATATATGTGTGTTGTATGTTCATTAGTTCAGGTGTGTATTTATCTAATCTGAGTACTCATGTGTGTTTTCATATATGCATTATGTGTGCTGTGTGTGAGTATTCAAGCATGGCTGCAGGCACCCTCAGAGCCACATCGACAGTGACGTGGTCCCTGTGTCTTTCCTTTCTTCTCTTCAGCAGAGAAGCGCCTTTCCCGGGGGATTTCCCATGCCAGCTCAGCCATCGTCTCCCTGGCCCGATCCCACGTAGCCAGTGAATGCAGCAATGAGCAGTTCCCACTGGAGATGCCCATCTATACATTCCAGCTGCCGGACCTGAGCGTGTACAGTGAGGACTTCAGGAGCTTCATCGAAAGAGACCTGATCGAGCAGGCCACCATGGTAGCTCTGGAGCAGGCAGGTGAGTGTCTGCCACCCACAGGCTCCTATTCCTCGGCACCCACCCCGGTCACTCACCCCACCCCTATGCAGCAGCCTGACTGCCTCTTTCCCCAGTGAGCAGGAGGAAGATCTGGGTTCTTGGGATTGGCCATCAGAATTCTCCATTTGTACCAACCCTGCTCTAAAGATTGTTGTGCTCTGTCACTGAGCACTGGCTGGATAAGCAGCCATGCTGGTACCTCCCAGCTCATTTCCCTTCTTCCTGAATTCCAGATTTTCCCTGACTATAAGTGTCATGCTACTTGGCCTTGATCTCTTCCCATTTCTCATCCATCCCATGGAAACTGAAGAAGGATAGGCAATATGATTGAGTTAGAAGAGAAACGGGAGACCCTGCCAATTCTATACACATGGGCAAATCCTGTTCCTAGAACTTCAGCTTCCCATCAGCAAAGGTGACAACCCTGGTGGCCATGGGGACTCTGTGAAGACAGACATGTGTCTCTCTTCCCAACTGTCACAGTCTTTCTGGCCTCCCAGTCGGGGAAACAGAGAGGTGACTTGAGCCTTGTCTAGCATTACCTCATGACCCTGTGATGCCAGTGAGGAAAGCAGGGAGGAAGCCAGATGTGTCCTCTTTGACTTTTCAGTCAGTAGAACCAATGACTCAAAGCAAATGTTTGAACAGATGTAAGTTCATCCTGAGAAAGGGCAATACCTTCTCAGCATCATCACTTGCATTAAAAACAACTGCAAAATTGAACATCAAAGGGCTTCTCAGAGATCTATGTGAAAGGCTTTGTTCTTCACAAGCACTGTAACATGTGGGCCTGCTTGTTGGGGTTAATGTCCTGCCCGGTACCCATTAGCTCAGGCTTCTTGCTAGCTCTTATAAGTTATATTAACCCATTATTCTTATCTATGTTAGCCACATGGCTCAGTACTTTTCTCAGTGGGACAGCTCACATATTGCATCTTCAGTGGTCTGGGCAGACTGCAGAGGGAGCTTCCTGCTTCCCAGAATACTCCTGTTCTCATTGCCCCGCCTCTACTTCCTGTCTGGTTGACCCACCTATACTTCCTGCCTGGCCAATCAGCTTTTATTTAAAACATAATTGACAGAATACAGACGATTCTCCCGCACCACTTCCCCCTCTTTTTTTTTTTAAACAAAGGAAAATATCCATAGTCCATTTATTGGTAATGTGGGCGTAGTATTTCAGGCTACTTTCGGCTGGTTGGGGGCACTGATAATCTTATGGGAACCTAAAGAAAATTTAAAATTATGATCAAGTCCTGACTGGAGTATCCTGTGAGGCTTGATCATTTCAGGCAGCATCTTGAATCTGTTTTAGATGTAGAACTCAGACATCTGGACCATCTGTTCTTACCGGAGATTTCTCAGGTGGTCATTCTTGATCGAACCTGATTTTTCTCCCAGGGGGATTCACTACCAGCATGCACCAAGGGCATGTCACCAGCAGCGGTTCCCGCTGCCCCAGATAGAAGTGGAACACAAGGCCTTCTGCTTCTCACTTGGCATTCGGCTGGAGGGATGACTGTTGGAGGGACTCCTAGGTAACCTGTCCCAGCAGAGCAGGGAGGGATACCTCCTAGATGTGACATCTTGGCAGACAGCAGAGAAAGTGCTCTACTGAGAGCTTCATCAGCAACCATGCTGCTAGGAAGCAGAACTCAGTTCTTGGCCAAAGCACAATAAATGTTGCTGTGTTTCAGAAAAAGATAAGAGTAATATCTAGAGGGTGGACACTGGGAATCGAGATTCTGTCATAAAAGAAATCTAAGGAGATGGTAGGAATCCATAAATGGGATATTTGCCAAGCCATGTGCAGAGGTTAAAGATAGCAAAATTAGTATCATGTCTGTAAGTAACCCAGCAAGGCCATTGCTACCTTTGTGTTTTTCAAATAAGGGAAAGATGAGCAATTGTATGGAGAGATCATAGCACTGGGGAGAGAAGAGGTTAGAGAAATAGACTCTAACCACATTCTTCCTCTACCACACAGAGTGGCTAGAGCATTACACTAGCAGAAAGACAATGGTTGGGTGATCATGGGCGTGTCTGTTTAGCTCACCGTTCCTCTGGGTGTAGAGCTGTGGCACAAGAGTAGCGTGTAGGTCTTTGAGGCAAAGACAAAGCACGCAGGGGGTCGATATCTCTTGCTTTTTGGTCTCCTAACACCATCTAGGTGTACTTGTTTCATTTCAAGGCTTGTCAGAATAATTCAGGTGTCATTCTCATCCATATGCTCCAGGTGAGGAGTAGAAGACACATGTAGATAAAGGAATGGATGGAGGCTGGTGAGGTCTTGTTTGTGCTGAAAAGCCCTTTGGTCAAGACTTATGTGGCTTCCCCAGTGATATGCTTGGCTTTAGAACAGGGCTATGTCACTATACTGGAAGTCGTGTTGTAACTGAGAAAAATCATTATCTTGGCTGCTGCACAGCCCTCAGAAAAACCTGCCTGGCTCTGCAGATCCCCTCTTCCTTCCCTCTGCACCACTGATTGAGCCACAAGCAGAGCAATCCAGGGAATTGGTAGTAACTACACCAGCTGCAGGAGCTGCCAGCCCAACAGATCCGGATGGCTATTCAGACAAGGCCACTGACGCAAGCCACTCACTCTTCACCAAGAAGGAGCAAGTTAGTATGGGTTTTAGAGAAAGAAGAAAGAAGCTTAGTGAAGTGAGTGTAGCAGCAGCTCAGAGTCTTGTGGAGTTCCAGGGACAACAGCACTGGTTTTGTCAAAGGCCACCGAGAAGACTCTCCTGCGCTGGTCCTTACCATCTGGCATTTTTCAAACTAGATAGATAAATATGGACACATCTATATGTGGACACTCACTGTTTTCTGTGCAAGGCCAGCCAGAGACTCCCTCCTGCCTCCCCTCCTTTGTATGATCTGCCTTGTATTGTCTTGCTCCAAACTCCTCTCCCTCTGCTTCATCTGACCATTAAAGCATCCTTGCAGAATTCACCCACTTAGGTCAAGATAAACCTAGACAACACTTTGATCAACCCAGAATCAAGAACGGACTTCCCCAAAGCTTCTTCACTTGGCCTTGGATTGAAGCCTAATGATGTAGGCCCCATCTACCCTCAGGGGTAGAGGGTTTTACCAGGTACACCTGGAGCAGATTTCCTAGGGCTACCTTAGAGGTCTACCTGCTATGTATGACGTGTTCTCATTTGTCGATAACTGTTGTTGGGGTTTCTGTCCTACCTGGTTCCTGCAATCATTAAGTCCCAAAGAAATCACACAGAGGTCTACATGAGGATATAAACTGGTTGGCCCATTAGCTCAGGCTTCTTATGAACTCTTATAACTTATATTAGCCCATTATTCTTGTCTATGTTAGCCACGTGCCTCAGTACCTTATTCAACGAGGCAGTCACATCTTACTTCTGTGGCTAGGTCAGAACTGCGACCTCTTCCCAAATTCTTCTGTTCTCCTTACCCCACCTCTGCTTCCTGTCTGGCTGTCCTGCCTATACTTCCTGCCTAGCTACTGGCCAATCAGCGTTTATTTAAAATATAATTAACGGAATACAGACCATTGTCCCACACCACTTCCCCCTCTTTTAAACCATTTTCCCACAGCAGATAACTAGTCTACTGAGCTAAAAATCACAGTGAGATATTAATACAATATATTGGGATCAAAGGAATCTTCCCAGCATCCTCATTTTCCACTTTTGACCATTCTCCTGGAATTGGTGTAGAGCGGTATGCAGTAGCTACATACTCTCCTTTCTTCCTAATGACTATGAACTTCCAACTTTCACTGTGCCCTCTGAGGAAATGGGACCCTTTGAGAGCTCTCCGGACAACCAAAGCTGAGGCCATCTGGGGCGAGGAAGGCACAGTGATGGCTGTGATTTCCCCATCGCATATCTGCGCCTGCGCAGCACTTCATGCACATGTGCAGTAAACTAACTCTCAGTTCTCACTTGGGCTGCACACCAGATCCAAAGGTGACAGGAAAGAAAGAGCCCCTGAGAGGCCAAGCATCCACCTGTGCTCCCTAACCTACCAAAAAGGGCTGAGCTGAGGAGGGCCCCCAGCTCTGCATGCCCCCTGCCTTCTCTGGACCATACCTTCTCAGAGTCTTCGAAACCACCACCCTCTCCACAAGGCTGTCTTTGAACATTCCATTCCAGATATGAATTGCACGACTTCTTTCCCTAAAAGAATAAATCACCAATGGCAGAGGAATTCCCAAAGGAATGATTCAAGGGCAGAAACAAAGTATTCAGTGAGTGGAGATGTGCAGATATACTGCATTTATGGATTTGTGCAAGTTGAACCCTGTACCTTCAGAATGCCATCAACTTTACTACAGTACATGATTTTTTTTATATGTTCTTGAATTCAGCTTGTGAGTTCTTTATTGAGAAATTTTGCATCTAAGTTCATCAAAGAGGATTGTCTATAATTTTCTTCTTGTTTTTGTTGTTTCTTTGTGTGATTTTGGTGTCAGGGTAACACAGTCTTCATTAAGAGTGTGGTGCTAACCATGCTCCAGTGCATGGCCACACTTCCTGCCAGGAAGTAGTGGAGCAAGAAACATGTGCAAGTTGCTCCTGTTCCCTGCATCTTCAGGCAAATGCTCTTCCCGCCTTTCCCTCTTTGGAACAGAATCTGTTCCTTGTTGCCCCAGCTCTTCTCCTTCACAGCATCCAACTGAGGCAGCTTCTAATCTGCCATCTTACCCAGGAACTTCCAAGTCTCTGGACCTGATTAAAGAATGTATGGATTTTGTTTGGTGTGTGTGTGTATGTCTACAGTTTATTTACGGTGAATGTACATGAGTCTACAAGTCTCTGGGCCCATGCATCAACATGTAGAAGTCAGAGCAGATCAGGTGTCTTCGGTCATTGTCCACCTTACTGACTTGATATAAGGTCTCTCACTGACCCTGAAACTTGACATGGTGGCTAGCCAGAATGAACCCAGGATCTGCCTCTCTCTGTTCCTCAATGCTGGCATTATAGGAGT